TATGTTAATTTAATTAGTTTCATACATATTCAAGCGATTAATGATCATATAAGGAGACCATACAAATATGAACTGAAGAGTTATATAAAGTGCTTGATTTCTAGATATGCTATAAACCATTGGAATGGAGATAGGACATCTCCATGCCACTAATATGTAGTTTTTGGACAACTGTTGGGGATGATTTTGAAAATTACTCGCAATCGACATGACAAACTCAGGAAACATTAAGAAGCATTTTATCCAATCAGCGTTCACTAGAAGTTATGCCAGAAACATCACAAAAGTGACAAGTCATATGTAGAGTTTCTGATTATCTAGTAGTATTCTAGAATTTTCAGGAAAACCCAAAGACTTCTAAAATACTATAAAAACCCTATATTTTTTGTACATAGATGAACCTTTGAAGTAAAACTGCTTCTCGCATATTTTGTGCTTTTTCTCTCATGTTCAAGTCTCTATGTAGTTCTAGCTTGGTTGGGGATTACAAGACTAGCTTAGGATCCGAATAATAGTGTTTAATCAACAAAACTTATCAACAACTGACAATCAAACTTCTTAATTTTGTAAAATAAAGTTTTCACAACTTTAGTTCATAGGTTCATTGACCAAACTATATATACCTTTATATTGACAAATCAATTCAAATTTGATTATAAAAAGTGGGAGAAATTCAACTTTAACGACAAATAAAAAAGTATCTTACAATAAGAAAATTTGTTTAAATCTCGAATTGGTATCACTTAAACTATCATTTTAAAAAAAAATCTAGAATCACAAAGCCGATATTTTACCTCAATATGGAACATACCAGCATTACTTATTTATGATTTTATTTAATTTGAACACATAAATATTAAAACAAGAAGGCACCAGATACATATGCGCCATACAAAACAATGAGGATGAAAAGAGAAAAAGAAGATAATGTGCATATAAGTAAAAAAGGGAAGAACAGTAACAACCATAGATAGACATTAACACCGTTGGATGCCAGCTCAGTGGTCTATCGGTTAAGGGCTCCGGCTCGTGACTGATAGGTCCTGGGTTCGAATCTCGCGAGAGCGGGTTCGTGGATGCGCACTGCTGAGGAGTCCCATAATAGGACGAAACGGCCGTCCAGTGCTTCCAGGTTTTCGATGGTGGTCTAGCCTCAATTGACTCATGATCTTAACTATAAAACTACTAAATCTCCACAAAAACCCCCCTAGTGATAATGATCATATGCTCACTAGTGACTGGCTCCTTGAGGTAATTCCTGGAGTTCTAGTGAGAAGTCGTGGCCAGTGGAGCTAATCCATGTCAGGTAGAGACAGGTATCTACCTCAGTACATTGGAAGTTGGTTGCGCAAATTTGTGGATTAGTTGAGGTTAGACATTAACACCGTTGGATGCCAGCTCAGTGGTCTATCGGTTAAGGGCTCCGGCTCGTGACTGGTAGGTCCTGGGTTCGAATCTCGCGAGAGCGGGTTCGTGGATGCGCACTGCTGAGGAGTCCCATAATAGGACGAAACGGCCGTCCAGTGCTTCCAGGTTTTCGATGGTGGTCTAGCCTCAATTGACTCATGATCTTAACTATAAAACTACTAAATCTCCACAAAAACCCCCCTAGTCATAGATTAATGTATGATAGTGTAATAATAAGAACAATAATGGAGGAAACGGAAAAGTACAACCAGAAGAATTCTTTCAGTTAAGAAAGTTACAACCACTTTTTATGAAGAAAGTAAAAAAAGATTACAGCAGGTTCGCCACTGGCTTCTATTCTCAGTCATATCTGATAATGTCTTTAGCCACTGTATTGTACCACCTCTTGAACCGCAGCCAGGGAATCGTGAAGGACCAACAGAAGCTAAATTTTTGCAACTTTCTTTCATACCACGACATCATGTTATACACTGACCATCTCTCCGCTTTTTTCAACCAGTCCCAGAGTCGGCAAATAATGCACGACGTGGAATTCTCTGGGACGACGTTCGTAGAACATGCCACCGAAGTCGGTATTTCAAAATGGTGACATCAATTGGGTTGTCGTCTCTGCGCCCGAACACACGATGCCAAACCTCTGCATAACTAACATGCTGTTGACATTGGATGTCAGCAATCCTTCGGAGACAACGATGATCGAACACAGAGAGTTGTCTAACATCCTCAACTCGGAGAGGCCAGGTTTCACAAGCATAGAGCAAAACTGCTCTCACCGACGCTTTGTAGATCCGACCTCTTACAGCCAGACTAACATCACGAAGGCGCCAAAGATGGCCCAGATTGGCATAAGGCGCTCTAGCCTTCACTATACGTGCATCGATCTCATCACTCACGCCACCACCAGCACTTATGTAGCTACCTAGATACACGAACTTCTCAACTACTTCAATCTGCTCACCATCCAGGGTAAGTACAGGATGAGAATTCTGCCAGTCTTGCAGGAGTACTTTGTACTTGGAGGGTGCAAAGCACAAGCCGTTCTTGCGGACACTGATTGCTAACTGATTAAGTGCGGATTGCATGCCTTGGGCATTATCGCACAGTAAGACAATATCATCCGCATACTCAAGGTCAAAAAGTCTTTCTCCAGGCAACGGATTCACACAGCCATTACTTACATCCATCAGAGCTGTTTCTAGGATGTCATCGATGGCAAAGCTGGAAGCAATGGTTGGATGGAATGATCCCAAAACCATGAATCGTATAAATCACTTTTAGCCTTTGTAAGGATAGCTCGTTGGCAAACTCAAGGAAGCCTTAAGAAGACCACAAAGAGCAGAAGACATTCCAGCCAATCACCGCCAGAGTAACATCCCAGAACATGTTGGTCCCCTATTGGATGAATAAGAAGGACCCCCTATGTACCTATTGGCTTTCCGAAATGATTTACTTTCTGCCAAAAAAACTATAAATACATGACATTTTTGTACTATATTGGACACTGTTTTGGGGAATAAGATTCCTACTTACTAACTTCTATCTTCTCTCTTGCGACGTTCAAGGTTCGATCGTTCAAGTAGTCTAGTAATACGCGGCATAGCAAGAATCTAAAGCTTTAAATATAACAGCCTTTAAAATGAATGTTTAACCGCTAGATAATTAGATGTTCAAAGTTACCAACCCACAATAATGTCAAACCTTCTGTATATATCTATATACTTTATGAAAGCAATTGAGTTGTCACAGTCAGTCAGCTACAATGTAGAACCAGGCACATATATGCATCGGTCCAAGTTGTCATACCTCGTTAGCGCAACAAGATGAACACCGAATTCATAGAAATAGTTAATTTAGCGGTGGTAATATATGAAAGATAGGTTGTGTATGAGGATATAGTATAGGAAGGAAGACAGATATAAAACAATTTTAATCTCAAGGTTTAAGGGAAGATAGAGTGTATACATCTAAGCCATTGTGATGGATTCTGAGCCATGTCACCTAGATTCTCCAACCATTGGTTACGATGGTCGCGTGGACCCCAACCCGGTAGTCTGCATCTACCGCCAACATGGCTAAGACAAGAAGTTTGTGACTTCATATAGAAATTAAAAAAGCCATTCAAAACTTGTTATACAATCAATACTGTTATACATTAATACATGTTTATAACTTTTATATATAATAAAATAAATTGATAATTGGTAAAAATAAATAAATAAACAAAAAATTAAACAAAAAAATAAATAAAAATAAAAAAAATCGATCAATAAATAAGAAAGAAAGAAAAAAACTAAAAAAAAATATTTCGAATATAAATAACAAAGAAATCGATAAACAGAAAAATAAAACAAACAAACAACTTTTTTTTTAATTCTTTTTACTAACTTTAATGTTTTTTGTGTAATATATCGTATCAGGTAGTTTTATCTCTTTATTGTTCATTTCAAGGATCAGTGATGTAGTGAATGAGAATACCATTAGAGATAATTGAATGTATTTGAACACATCAATTAATGAATCATTACAGAATCATAAAGTGAATACTTCATTTGCAGAATGTTAATCAATCGTCTCAAACTTGATTGTTCCTTCGTTGTCACATCCATCATTCATTGTTCATGTTCTCTTTTCTTCGATCTTCTTAATCTTCAGTCTCCAGACATTCCACTTTCGATTGGTAAAACATACTAATTATTTCTGTCAACATCAGCAGCGTACAAATTACTAAATCATTACAGAATCATACAGTGAATAATTTATTTGCAAAATGTTAATCAATCGTCTCGGATTTGACTGTTCTATCGTTTCCACACCAATCATTGTTCATTGTCGTTTTTTCTTGTCTTCGATCTTGTTAACCTTCAGTCTCCAGGTATTCCACTTTCGATTGGCAGTACACACTACTTATATCTATTGACATCAGTAGCACACGCCATATTACTGAGTAATAGAATGTCATATTTTTTTAATCAAAGATCTCTTTTCAATCCCATATTTATAGAATATTTACATCTTTCATTCAAGTGTATTTAACTCCTTACATCAATAGAACCATATTAAACAACTTTGGAAACTCCTCGTTGTTTATAAATAAGATCCTTAATTCTAATATTCTATTGTTCAGTTATTTAAACAAACGGTAAAAGATTCCTTCAATATTAAATATGATATATATTTAATAAATATTGAGAAAACATTAGAACTAACCTTAATGATCAATGGAATGATTAGAGAAAATAGGTGAATAAAATTGTTCGGTATATAAAAAATATAATTTTACAATAAACAAATTAAAAAAATAACATGAAAGGATTGTTCAGGATAAGGTTAGATGGAGAGTACTTGTTTGGCGGTCTATACGCTCCTTCATGAGAGGGAACAGGCGTAAGTAAGTCGTGTTTTTAATGAAGTCGGATACTTCAACAAGGATATCATAACATGTACAAGAAGAAATAAATGCTGTAAAGCATCACATATATATTTCATTGTTCTAACTAATTAATGTTTGTCTACATTGAGTGATTGTATAAGAGAAATTCATAAGTAGAGTGAGGGGAATTTCGGCTTACAACTCATAATATCATGTAATGATTTGATAAATTAGGAAATGGATTTCCTTGCAATGTTAAATGCTCTTGATTATTCAAAAACGTATTGATATTCATAGGAAATGTTTCAACATATTCATCATAATTGTTATTCTCATGATGGTAGGTTTCCCTAGTTGATTCAATTGAATCAGGATTCATTTTTTTAGTATTATCATTTATACTACTGATATTATGTTTATTAGTAGTAGTCAAGTTGGAATGAGAGATTTTTTTCGTATTCGATTGTTTTTTAAACCAATTCATTTTTAAATGATTCAATACTGTTGATAAACGTTGTTTATTTAATAATAATAAATTAGATCCAGTAGTTGCTGCTCTTGGTCTACTTATCGGATTTATAATATTTGAATAATTCACCGGTAGTAATTCATGGATACTCGTTAAATCTCCACCGAATTTCAGGTTGGAAAACATATTTTGTGATGTTTGACAATCGATTGTACTTAAAGGACGTGGAGTATGTTCCTGACGCCTTTTCGATTGATGTTGGAATTGGTGAAGATAAAGATTTTGTGTCATAGTTGACCGTTGTTGTTGTTGTTGCTGCTGAAGATGATGATGAAAATAGTTTACATTCGAATGACAGTAATATGATCTACGCATATTACTAACATCACTTGATGTTCTTGGTCTACTATTTGTATAACTCATACTATTACTACTACTACTACTACTACTACTTCCACAATTAAAAAATAAAGATGAACCACTCGAGGGTGTTATCATCATAGGTGATAAACTACTATTTATACTATTATAAGTAGTATTAATACCATTACTACTATTACTACTATTATAACTATTATTATTACTAGTTTGAAATAGACTATTACGTGATCTAGTTGTTGTTGATTGACAACAAGAATTAGTAAATGATGATGATGATGAAGTTTGATAAGGATAATGTAATAAAGATAATGGTTCTATACAATTGTCTTGTTTATCCATAGGATATGAAGATGAAGATGAGTATACATTGGCTTTATCAAAGTATAATTGTACAAATATATCAGTATTATCACGATTACTAATCATATTTTGATTAGATATAGGTGATTGTTGAATAGTTGGTAATAGTTTGAGGGATAATAATTCACGGGATGGATAAGATGATGTTAATATTAAATCTAATGGTGAACATGTAGAATAAGCTTTGATTCGATTATGTAATAATAATGGTTGATTTCTAAGAATAACTGAATTCTTATCTTCTTCTTTTACTCCGTTATTACCTGAAAGAGTTTTCAGAAGAAAAAAATTATAAAGAGATTTAGTAAGAATTAATCTTAGTGTGAGGATGGTCCACAGGTTAAGTTAAGGAAGCTCTAAGAAGCTCAGAAGGAGCCGAACATATTCCATCCAATAAGATTTGGGAAGAATATTCTAAAATCACTACGTGTAGCTTTCATACTGGATAATGCTAATAACCCCCCTGGTATGCCTGAACACCGATTACCATGGCGCACTATGATGACTAGTGTAGGGGATGGTTGGAAGACAGTTAGGGGCGGCCAAACCAAAACATGACATCATATCTTAAAGTCACTAACTTCTAATATGAGCCATGTTGGTAGATGCACACTTCTTGGTTGGGGTCCACGTGACTATCGTAACCAATGGTTGGAGACTCTGTGTGACGTGGCTCAGAATCGATCACAATGGTGTAGGTATGTACACTCTCTGTCTTCCCTTAAACGTTGAGATTAAAATTGCTTCATGTCTGTCTTCCTTCCTATACTATATTCTAATATACAACCTATCTTATATATACTACCACCATCACTAAATTAACTATTTCTATGGAGTTGGTGTTCATCTTATTGTGCTAACGAGGTGTGGCAATTTGGACCGATGCATATATGTGCCTAATCCTACGTTGTAGCTGACGGACTGAATAAATGATGAGTTCGTTTCTACTAAAACTATAAATACCTGACAGTTTTGTACCATAATTGATACTGTTTGGAATAAAATCCCCCTTTACTAATCTTCTGTTTTCTCGTTTTGTGACTTAGGAAGGTTCTAGCGTTTGAGTGCTTAAGTATTACGCGACATATTAAGAATCTAAGTTAGAGATATAACTTTTAGATGGTTAAAGGTAGTCAACAGAAAATTCTAATCAAACTGGACTATTTGCTGATTGATACTCGTCAGCATATTGTAACTGTACTCTTATGAAAATGAATACTATTGATGTTATTGTTAATTGATAAGATATTAAGGTTATCAACACTAAATAAACACAATTCTTCAATTCTAATTGTGATGCTTCACTCTGGTTGAATGTAAACTAATGGAACATATAGAAAAACAACTCATGTATTTGTATTTTTTTTTGTCTATAGATGATCTTTAACAAGACTTATTTCTCTCTCGAATAAAATAGGTGATTATCGAAAATATTTAAGATTTATGTAGAATAGATGAAATGTGATTAATAATGGAATCCAGGATTTGTTTTTCTTTTGTGTCATTTGAAATTTGTCAACTTCATGTGCCCACATTACTAAATTTGTGTTTATTATGTGTCTTGAACCCAATTGTGATTGAAATCTTTCGTATTTCGATATCGTTTTAATTTGTTTAACATAGTATTAACATATTGAACGGTATTTCAGTGGTAAAGGCATTCGAATTTCTCCCATTAAGTCACAGATGTAAACTGTTCTTCATCCACTTCTGTTAGAGCAATTGAGCCTTAGTATTGCTAACCCTCTCACACTTAAGATGTGTCGCAAACTCAAGTACATGAATTTGGTACACCGAAAATGAGTTTTTATTTATTTAAACACGTAAATATTGGTACAAAGGGTTACCAAATATATATGCGCCCCACAAATCTCATTTGATTTGTGTGAGGGCTGTGATACTACCTAGGTGCACAAACTGAAGCAGGTGGTGTTCTTTTGCTGCTACACCACAAGCCTTTGACATAAAGGCATGATCCACAAGGCAGTGGAGCATCGTAAGGAGATGCAAACGCATGGTAGTCGGTGATCAACGATTGATTCATAAGTCATTTGTTCCCTCAGGATACTGGAGCCCATGTGAACCATTGGTTTGGAATGAGGGTTTTTCAACTGCCCTAGGTGGAATTTCCGTGTCCACCAACCCGGTTAGAGCACCGGACATTCACTTTTCGTCCTTTCAATTTCGTAAACAACAGTACTGCCACGAGAAGGCAGTGAGTAGGATTTTTGTGGCAGTGGCTATATACGAGTGGCCATGTGAGAGCATTTCACAAAAGAGGACTGGCCCGTCCCTACTCTCGGCCGTACCAGGGAATTCGGGAACAAAAAATGAGTTAATAATAATAATAATAAATTGATGCCAATTTCTAACTTACATAAATTCATTTCCAAATAATGAGATGTAGGACTGTTATTAATTTCTCTGAAAAGGAAATGAAATCAATGAATGAAATAATGTTTAACACTAATGTGAACTATGTTGCTATGTAAAATTTGGCCATAACAACTAATGTAGTATAGAATTACCTATTAGTCTATAATTGATCATATTTATATAAAATTCTTCAGTTTTAAGGATGAACTCATTATAAAGGATTCTTTTTCTATAATAAATTGTTTTGTGTCTATCTCAAATCTATCGAAAGAAGGAAATCTAGAGGAATCTACAGAAAATGAACTTGAAACTTAAGGTTACGCACCTTATATGAATACAAAGTGTGATGTGTACTACTGATGTCGATAGATATAAGTAGTATGTATTACCAATCGAAAGTGAAATACCCCGTGGCAGAAGGTTAAGAAGATCAAAGAAAAGAGAACGAGAACAAAGGATTATTGGTGTGGAAACAAAGGAAGAGTCAAGTCTGAGACGATTGATTGACATTTTGCAAATGAATATTCACTGCAGTGCGCATCCATGATCCCGCCTCTCGAGATTCGAACCCACGAACTACCAGTCTCGCGCCAGAACACTTAACCGAGGAGTCCGAAAATAGGACGAAACGGCCGTCTAGCGCTTCCAGGTTTTCCATGGTGGTCTAGCTTCAATTGACTCATGATTTCAATTATATAAAATTACTAAAATCTACACAAAACCCGCTTGTGATAATGATCATATGCTCACTAGTGAATGGCTCCATGAGGTATATCCTGGAGTTCAAGTGAGAAGCAGTAACCAGTGGAGTTCAACCAGGTCTATTGAGAGATATCAACTCACTGAAGACATTGGTGAGATGGTTGCTTAATTTCGTGAAATGGATTATATTGTCGAATTACATAATACAAATTATGACAGTGAAATCAATTGTGTAAACTCTAAAACTTGATTGATAAACTAAATAAACTAAGATAGTTTGTTTACATTCTTGAAGCGACTAGTTTATGTGTTTCAGTACATTCAAATTTCAAAGATCAGGTTACATAATTAGATCTTCTTGAATTGCCAAATAATAACAATATGCTTTGTGTATAAATAACTAGTGCTGTAATCAACTGTTTAAACCTATGATTGTGATCTCTCATAATGAGAAATAGAAACTTCTTGAATAATCATCAACAAGTTGTATTTGGATAATTGAGGGAACGTTTGCTTTATGTGAGGATCAAACTTGTATCACCTAGTTTTATAATCTGAGATGATATAATTAAGTTATTCATGTTTTAACTAATTTTTTGTAGTATGAACATATTTACAGTTGTCTACGCAAGATACTTAGGATCCGTTGACCAGACTCTATCTATTAGCAACAACCTAATGTGGGATACAACAAACCAGATTCCAACTGAGGAAGAAATCAGGAAGAAGCACTGGAAGTGAATAAGAAGCCACACATTGAAGAAATCACCCAACTACATCACAAGACAAGTCCTCACTTGAAATCTTGAAGACCAAAGAAGAAGAAGAAGAAGATCCAAGAACACATTACACCGAGAAATGGAATATAGACATTAGAAGTATAAACAATAACTGGATAGAACTAGGAAGGAATGCCCAGGGTAGAATGGGTTGGAGAATGCTAGTCGATGGTTTATGCAGCATTGGGACTAACAAGCGTAAGTAAGTAAGTAAAGTTTTGTAAATGAATTCATTGAAGAAAAAGAATTCTTCCATGAACCAGTCTTTCTTATTTAATAATTTATTAGGTATTAATGTAAGGACGGCTCGTCGGTAGACTGTAGGAAGCCTTAGGAAGCCCAGAAAGAGCTGCAGACATTCCACTCAATCACTGCTAGGGGAATATTCTAGAATGTCAACGTGTAGCTTCCCCATTGTATGGATAAGAATGACCCCTATTTGCCTATTGGTTGTCTGAAATAATGATTTACTTTCAGCCCAAAAAACTTTAAATACACGATATTTCTGTACTATATGTTGACACTGATTTCGGGAATAAACTTCCTACTTACTAGTCTTCTGTCTTCTCTCTTGCGACGTTCCGGATTCTATCGTTCAAGTAGTCTAGTAGTACGTGGTATAGTAAGAATCAAGGCTGTAGATATAACATTTAATAAATAATAATTCACTTATATAGTTAAAATCATTAGTCCATTTGAAGCTAGACTACCATGAAATACCTGAAAGTACTCGATAGCCGTTTCGTCCTATTGTAGGACTCTTCAATGCTTTCAAATTTTCCATGATAGTCTAGCTTTAAATAGACTGATGATTTCAACTATTTATAATAAAATTACTAAAATCTTCATAAAATACCCCCCCCAATTCTGATAATCATTCACTTACTTTATTTTATTATAATCATTTTGTATTGATTTTTTGTCATGGAAACAATATTGTTGATTAGGATATTCCAATTGTAGATCATTTTTTCTATTATTCAATAATAATGGACATGATTGATATAATGAATGGTTTTGGGATAAATATAAATTTTTTTTATATTTTATTATATTACTTTTATTATACTGAGAAGCATTCCCCTTGTTATCCATAAAACCATTATTATTATTATTATTATTATTGTTAGTAGTAGTAGTAGTAGTAGTAGTAGTAGTGGTGGTAGTAGTATTGTTATTGTTATCGTCAATGTTAGACATCGATTTGGAATGAGTTAATCGTTTAATTGGTTGTAAATTCATATTAGATAATAGTGTATTATTTTGTGATAATGAAATTGGTCTTGGCAATGGAGGTAAACTAGACGAAATCATTTGAGAGAGAAAGAGAAAGAGAGTAAAAGTGAACAAAAAATTTTGAAAATTCTGGATTTAAAAAATAAGGTAAAATTATATTCATATGTATTATAAGCAAAAATGGATAGTGGATAGCAGTGGAATCCATTTTGACGCGCATTTCGTCCCATTTGGGACTCGTCAGCTGGATTCCACTGTTAGCCACTATTCATCTTTGCTTATAATGCTTGTGAATTAAGACAATATCGTAGTAATACGCACTGTATGCACATATGCCAATAAGAGACTGACCAATTGCAGTCCTTTATTATTTATTTAAATTTATTTAAATACATAAATATTGGTACAAGGAAGCACCAGATAAATATGCGCCGCCCAAATCAAATCAGATTTGTGTGAGGGCTGTGATACTGCCCAGGTGGCCAGACTGAAGCAGATGGTTTTCTTAGGGGGTCACATCCCTAGCCTTCGACCCGAAGATCTGATCCACAAGGCAGTGGAGCATCGTAAGGAGATGCAGTCTCACGATAGCCGGTGACCAACGATTGATTCATACGCCATTTGTTCCCTCAGGATACTGAAGCCAGCCCATGTGCACCATTGGTTTGAAATGAGGGTTTTACAACTCCCCTAGGTGGATCCTACACATCCACGAACCCGGTTAAAGCACCGGACATTCGCTTTTCGTCCTCTCAATTCCGTAAACAACACCGGTGCTACGAGAAGGCAGTGAGTAGGACTTCCGTGGCAGAGGCTGTATTCGCGTGACCATGTGAGAGCATGTGGAGAGGGAGAGCGGACTCTCCCCACTCTCGACCGTACCAGGGCATTTGGGGGGAAAAGCAGCAGTCCTAAACATCAATGAGAAGATTCAAACAAACAGTACTAAGTGAATTCATATATTCACATGTAAATTAAACTTTAGTGAACAGGTTTTATATTTAACAATAAAAAAAGAGATTACTGAGACTGTAAAATTTTATAATTCTGCCTTTAGCTCCTCCGAAGGCTACTGTCAGTCTCAAGCCCAGATAAAGGAGGAGGGTTGACCATGGTGTTAGCGACCCCATCCCGTAGAAAACTAACTCGTTAAAAAAACGTTAACGTAAAATTTTATAGTTATATCACCAACTGATATTAATTAGAGAGCCAGTGGAAACAAAGAGTAACAAGAAACCTGTATCATCCTAGTATGAAGCTTTCCTTCAATCTTCATAAACGACTCCACCAGAGATATAACCTGAGAACTTAAAACCTTGCTTCGATCGGAGTTGGTATTCAATAGTTAACATTTCTAAATTGAATAATTTCCCCGCATTGAAAAACCATCTTACAATGTCAATGGCATGACTCCCAACATGGACGAACTCCACTGATCACGGTTTCTCACCAATACTTCGGGAATCATCTGTCAAAATTAATCACTAGTAGGTACATTATCATTATCAATGTAGAAACTTGGTAGAGATTACCGAATTTTAGAATTAACATCACAGACTAACCCTTTATGATAGAATTTATTTAAAGTAATTGTATCAAACACATGTGATAATAAATAGACTTTTAATAAAATGTTACCTTGTCTAGTCCTTAGTTTTAGTTAGATTCTACTAAATTTGCTTCACTGTTACGACTACACCAAATAACTTGATATTGTAATACACTTTGTGTGATTTGAGAAGATCAACATCTGTCCACATACCCAGTGTTTATACTAATGAAGCTCATGAACAAATCATACCTGGATGATTTCTAAAACTGATCTCCTTAGTAAGATTCCAAATTGTAGCAATGAGTATTATGTTCATAGACGTTACATCTGAACTATCACAAACAATGATACACATACTGTCGTAATGAGTTTCACATCAACCTATCACAGATTAAATTAATCCGGGGTGTGAATCCCACGTACAAGATCGTGGATACGCACTACTAAGAAGTCACATTTCATAAAGAAACGGTTGTCTAGAGCTTTCAGATTTTCAATAATAGTATAGCTAATATTATTTCATCATTTCAACGAAAAAAAAATCAATTTTATTGATTATAAAAAAATTAATTGATTTATTGAGAAATGATCAGTAAATAGATTTATTGATCTGCCACAAGATGACCTTATATCATATTAAACAAAGAACTATAAGATTTCCTAACCAATAAAAAATATCGCTTTTTTAAAACTAAGGTGAAAACTACTTTTTTTTCATAGTTGAAAGCGTTAGTCAATCGAAGCTAGACCACCATTGAAAACCTGGAAGCACTGAATGCTGGCTACTAATGGGAAATACCTTACTGATGTGACAACTAAGTGCAATAGGAGTTATAATGTTGTCCTCAAATATCAAATATAAAATTTCCCATTTAACTAATCTTCTAAATCAAACTACTTACCACGGTAAATACCTCAAAAAAAATGTGTTCCAACCTCTGTAACACCGTTTATTCACCACGACAGATAGTCGCGCAACATCGTGGATTGGTTGAAGTTAGATATTAACACCGTCGAATGCTGGCTCAGTAGTGTAGAAGTTAAGCGTTTACTCACTACACCTAGTGCCCCAGGTTCGAATCCATCATGAGGGGTCGTGGATGCGCGCTACTGAGGAGTCCCACACCAGGACGAAAGGGTCGTTCAGTGTTTTCATGTATTCAATGATAGTCTGTCTTAAAGCGACTCATGAATTTAACTACTAAAAATCACTGCAATCTCCATAGACGCCTATTCTAACAATTTTTTTAAAGACTAAAATGCTAGACATTCTATAAATTAATTATTGAGAAACACGAAATACTGAACGGTTGTTTTATTCTTTGTGTGACAGGGGGCAGAATCCACCAAAATAGAGCAGATGCATTAATTCTCTATCATCCTTTAGATCGTGACCTCCTCCCAATTTCGTAAACAACACCCCCGCCACGAGAAGGCAGTGAGTAGGACTTCTCTGATAGTGGCTATATACACGTGGCCATGTGAGAGCATTTGGAGAGGGAGAGCGGATTCTCCCCATTCTCGGTCTTACTAGGGCATTTGGGGGTTCGAGTCTTCATATGCATGTTAGCATTATGAGATTCTCATAGGTCCGACTGACGAATTTTAAATAGGACAGAATTCATGTTCTAAGTTTAATTGATAGCTACAATCCATCTACCCTAAATAAATGATAAATCTTCTGACTGAACGCTTGAATCGGTGCCTTAAACTCTCCTAACAACCTTAGGAAATTTCTACACGATAACTTGAACATGAGAGAAAAAGCGCGTAATATAGATAGAACGCTTTCCCCCAAGATTAGTTCATGTACAGAAAATTTAGGGTATTTATAGCATTTGGAACGGTTCTGGACTTCTAGAAGTTTCTGGAACCCTACTAAACATAGTATCAGGACAGATAATCATCACAGAATACAACTGATAATATAAATATATTTTTTTTACAAAGATTATAGACTTACTTATTTTGACTGTAACCAAATCGATTCCATCCAGAATTTGAAGAAGATGATGATGAAGACAATGATGATGATGGTGTATTTACACTGGACTGATGCATTAGTCTGTTAAAAAACAATAAATTACGTAATCAATATGCATAAAAATCAGTATAAGGGTTTATAATATTGTGAATACCTGATGGAAGCGATTATGTTGGGTATACCTTTTTTCTACATAGATGTAAGATATTTATTGCCTATATTAGATTGTCTCTTGAAAAGATGAAAAAGGAAAAGTAGTTAAGCTTACTAAAAATACATCTGAGTTAATTTGCATAGTATATGTAAAATTTCAATATAAATGAATGATGTGTACTACTGACAAACTGGAAGAAGCGTTGATGAACATTGAAAAACTGTCTTAGAGACAACTGTTAGCCACAAGAATTCATTGACAAATATGGAAAATCTAAAGAAAACAAGACGGAATTGACTACAGTCAATAAAAATCTAGTATCTATAAATCAGAAGGGATCAAGTGCTCTGGCTCGAGGCTGGTGGGTCCTGGGTTCGAATCTCGCGAGTGCAGGATCGTGGATGCGCACTGCTGAGGAGTCCCATAATAGGACGAAACGGCCGTTCAGTGCTTCCAGGTTTTCCATGGTGGTCTAGCTTCAATTGACTCACGCTTTCAAAATATCCAATAGTTTACAGCAACGCCACCTTATCTAGTCCTTAAAGCTGAACGAATACTGTTGACCAAGTTGAAGTGAGATGATTACTAATCTGGCTGACTCGAAATCCTGTACGCTGCATTCAGATATTTCCTGTTAGAGAGAGGTAGGTATAAAACCCGGATTGACTTCGATTTCGGCCTAATTGTCGACGGTCAGAAAAATGTATCTAGGGAACTTGAGGGAACTGACTGTAAATCTCTCAGACCACCAAGACCAGTCGTGATCCAGTAAATAAAAAAAATCTTATTTTTATTCAATTTAAATTCAAAGGTGATGATTTGGTAGGGTCGATCAACTTAAGACTAAAAACTACATTGGTAAGAACTTGTCCTGAAGCTAAACTGATTTTTCTGTCCAAAACAAAATGTTCTTTAACACAGTCGAAGATCGATAGATATCCCTTTTATGTTACCACCAACTATGTATACAAATTTACATGTATCTGCCAAAACAGTCATATTGGTAGAGGAGAAAGGAAAATCTACGTCCTATTCAAAGAACATATTCCGAAAAGTCTAAGGTCAAATGGGTTAAAAGTTATAAGCATTTATATCCCAAGATACCTCCTTGACACAGGACATCAAGTCAATACACTGAAGTCTTTCAAGATGATTAACATACAATCAAACTCCAATCTTTTGTAATCTGCTGAAACAATAGAGATTGAACGTCTAAAACCAGATCTATGTGTCTAAAAACAAGACCGTAATAAATTTCTTTTGCCCTAGTAACATTCTATCCTTCTTTATTTATTACGTCAGTTATTATTCTAACTCTTTCTCAAGTTTTCATTACATTGTAATGACCTGCTTTTACGAAGAGAACGAGATTGGTATAATGGAAACAATTGTTATTATAACCAATTGTACTAGTGATTGTTTTGCTGTACTTGTTTGTTCAACTATACCACTGCCTGTGACCTTGTACGAATTTTCTTACTCTTGGCAGTTCCGCTCACAAACTTTGGCACGTCTTGGTATTCTTTCGATACCACGAGATCTCCAACAAATATATCTTATTGCAACCACTAACAGCTTTCTGGTTTTTGACCTACCGAGGGATCCACATCGATATCTGGCACGTAATCTTCATGTAATGGTGATCATAGTCAATCGTGACTTGACTCTGTCTACAACATCATTGTCAGTTTTTAAAAAAAAATTATTAATTGACTGATTTTAAATCACATCTTTCTTTATTATCATTCATTTGTTTTCAGTTACTTCATTGCATAATCATTTACTGTTTGTTAACGTTATGACTTCCACACACTAGTTCGAAATTCTGGAACTTTCAATACCACATTTTATCTATTTATCTGAAATAAAGATCTTCTATAACCTTATTAATTCTAATGGAGTCTTCGTTACATCATGATACACATATTCGTCGTTGATCACCTCTCATGTATAAGTCTGTCAATATCTGTAATAACATTGATTTTCAATTATCATAGGTTGTAAGCAACTGATGAGGACCTAACGATATAAAAGGAATTCATATTATCCTGTACGAATCTTTGATCAGAATCATTGATTTTTTCTTGAATATAAGATAACTAAAGAAATAGCAACTAGTCTAGTAAATATTTACTGTCTATGCTTATTTCTGTGTAAAAATAATGCATAGAATACATACAACAAGAATGAATAATAACAGCAATGGATGGTGGCAAGTAGTGGAATCCAGCAAACAATATCAAGTAGATTTAAACTTCACCCTATTGTACAAGCATGGTGGCTATCAGGACTCAGTAGTGAAGTGGATAAATCGATAGCATTTGAAGCGAACGGTACTGGGTTCAAGTCTCAGAGTGTAGATCAACTCTGAGATGCAGGTACAGCCAGCTAACGATTCCCAAATAGGGCGAAACGCGTGTTCTGGATTCCACTACTAGCCACCATCCATCTTTATTTATAAAGCTTGTGACTATAGGAAATATCGAGGCAATCCGTACAGGATGCATATATGTTAATAAGAGACTGATCAATTGAAGTCCTAAACATCAATGGGAAGATACAAGCAAACAATACCAAGATAATATAATGGCTCAATCAATAATTAAGTATTGCCTATAAATGATAAATATCTGTTGTTATCGACTGAGTTGTACACGTATACGACCAAAACATTATCAAGCAACACATTAAAATTATTAGTTTTTCAATTAAAACAAAGATAAGTAAAATTAGCTAGTAGTATTGTCTCAGGAAGAGCATAGATTGCTTCCTTGAGTTGTATTGGGTTCAGTGCGATTCAAGTTACTGGTTAGTGACGAAACAAAATCTCAACAGAAGCCCAAAATATTTGTGCCTCGACTCTCTGCAAGTCTTAAAGATTATACGAAGAAAAACCTGTTAAACAGTCCATAGAATACCTCGAACGGTTATACTCGTACATAACCCAAAGGATCAAGAGAAGAGGGAATATCCCAGCATTATACGGAGATAGTAGTGCTGCATTGTTAGTAGAGGACCATTCTCGTAAATCTCAGGTGTCCTCAAATTACATCAGCAATGTAAATACCGTACATATACTATTCTCCTTCAGTTCATACAAACGCCCCCCCCCACACACACACACTGGACAATGTGATCACCAAAGGACTCGGCGTCCTCGGTCTGCTAAATGAGCTTGATTTAGGCGAATATGTCGGACCCGATAAAATTAATTCTATGTTACTGAAAGAATAAGCAAAATTTGTCGTGAATCCCATTAGCATATATATTAATTTGCTTGCAACGCAAGGTAGATTACCAAAAGACTGAAAGAGATATAAACGTGAGAACTATAGATCCCTAAGCATAACCAGTACAGTTGTTAAAATTTCATAAAATATTATTCCAAAGGACTTTTTGAGTAGCTGGACGAAAACCGGTTTCTTTCTGAGAAGTAGCATGGCTTTAGAACAGGTTATTCATATCTCGCTAACTTATTAGTAGTGTGTGAAAGTTAGTGTGCTCGTAAAAATCAAAAGTTACTCATAAACGTGACCTTGATTGACTTTAGTAAGGCTCTTGGAAAAGTTTCACGCAACCGGCTGCGATCTAAGTTAATTGATACCGGGATTAGAGGCAACATATTTATGTGAGTAGAGGATTTCCTCTTTGGGCGTCAACAAGGAGTACGGATTAACTGGGAGTTGACTAGCTGACAAACTGTGCTTATCAGAGTACCTCAGAGTACTGTTTCGGGGCCGCTGTTGTTCCTCATGTATGTAAATGACCTTTCTAGTTTCTCATTACCATACGTTCGGTTATGTGCTGACGACATCAAGATATGGAGTGCGATAAAAAGTAAAAGCTATCGTTCAGTTTCAAAATGACTTAGACAAATTATCTGAATAATCTAGAATTTGACAGTTCCCGATAAATGCTTCCAAGTGTGTTATCATGCATGTCGGTCACCAAGGCGCAGATACATACACGGTGAATAACATTGAGCTACCTGTTGTCCAGACAAATAATAACCTAGGAATCATAAATAGCTAAGACTTACAAACTACTACACACTGTCGTGTGATAGTCTCTAAAGGTTTTAGAACCTTATGGTCAATATGTTGAGTCTTTAGCTATGTTGATGCTAACACCTTTTTGACTTTGTATACAGTATTTACTCGTCCTAAACTTATGTTTCACATACAAGTGGTTAACCTCTTCCTAAAAAAAGGCAGCGAGGTATTGAAGTTTTATTATTTATTTATTTAAACACATAAATATTGGTACAAGGAAGCACCAGATACATATGCGCCTTACAAATCTCATTCGATTTGCTTGAGGGCTGTGATACTGCCCAGGTGCTCAAACTGAAGCAGGTGGTTTTCTAAGGGGCCCACACCCGGAGCCTTTGACCGAAACATCTGATCCACAAGGCAGTGGAGCATCGTGAGGAGATGCATTCCCATGGTGATGATTGATTCATACGCCATTTGTCCCCTCAGGATACTGGAGTCAGCCCATGTGCACGATTGGTTTGGAATGAGAGTTTTCCAGCTCCCCTAAGCAGACTGTGTCCACCAACCCGGTTAAAGCACCGGACATTCTCTTTTCGTCCTCTCACTTTCGTAAACAACACCCCCGCCACGAGAAGGCAGTGAGTAGGACTTCCCTGGCAGAGGCTATATATTCGCTGGCCATGTGAGAGCATTTTGAGAGGGAGAGCGTACTCTTCCCACTCTCGGTCGTACCAGGGCATTTAGGGGCAATGGAGTGTCGCTACCAGGATTGAAAAATGTTCAAAGAAACTCATTAATCTTATTCTCGGAATAGCGAAGCTCCCGTATGATAATCGACAGGCTAAACGAAACCTATTCCATTGTCATATAAGAAGAACCAGTGGTGACGCTTGTTCACAGTCTTTAAATTACTTAGTGACAAATTTACGTCTGATATACCTTCATTTTTCTTGCGTTCCAAAACAAACGATTTACAAGTACACTCTAAAAATGGTTCACAAGTCAGCTGAGTATCGACTTTCTCTTCGACTCATTATCTCACCATATGATTGAAGCTCCATCTGTCGATGCTTTGAAAAAAAAGAGTTGAATCAATTAGGAGATCATCATTCCCATGATTATCACAAACCATCCCAATTTCCTATCCTTTCTTGACCGGAACATATACTGAAACTACACATTCACTTGTTAAGATATATGGAAAATCAAGGGTGAAATTGGAAAATTTGTGAAGAGTAAAACAAAAAGAAGAATAATGATCATTAGGGGGGGGGAATAAAAACATGATAAATAACTCTAGGGTACTCTATGTCCATCAATATATATATATATATATATATATATATATATATATATATATATATGTCTGTACTTATATGGTACATTTTTGGTTATCTATGGATCTATACAAGGGGATAACTAAACATTGATGATTATATAGCTAGAACTCTACATTAAACGATATTTATAAATGATCATCAGACACTTTAAGTGTTACGTAAGAGAGTAAACTATAGATGGTTGCTTACATTCATTCATTAGGTATGCATGTCTCATTATAACTATATATAGATATATACAGTGCTTTATACACATCCATACACACGGTCAATGTAAACATAGATACATACATACATAGATACATAAACAAGAACAACAAACAAAACATAGTCTAGAAAAACACTTGAATGTAAATAGAGAGAGAAAAATGGGGAAAAAATATTTATGTCTATCTTCATTGAAGTTCTTTTTCTGGTTTTCAGACAACAACAAAAAATATACATTAGGAATGTTTAACAATATCAAATAGACAAAATAATAAATTTTAGTGGGAGGAAACTAGGTTATTAGTCTGAAAAATATTGTTGTCAGTATTCCTTTCTTGTTAAGATGGAAATGAAGGATAACTAGTATAACTAGATTACTATTCATTTAGTGTATTCAATTCGAATGGTATGATAGTGGCCCACAAATGCCCTGGTATGGCCGAGAGTGTAGAGAGTCCTCTCTCCCTCTCGAAATATTCTCACATGGCCATGTGTAATATAGCCTCTTTCAGGGAAGTCGTACTCACTGCCTTCTCGTGGCGAGGGTGTTTTTTTTTACGAAAAGCGAATGTCCAACGCTTTGACCAGGTTTGTGGACACGGAAGGTTCACCTAGGGAAGTTGGAAAACCCTCATTCCAAATCAATGGTACACATGGGCTCCAGTATCCTGAGGGAACGAATGGCATATGAATCAACATTTGGTCACTGGCTACCATGGGACTGCATCTCCTCACGATGCTCCACTGCCTTGTGGATCAGACCTTTAGATCGAAGGCCCCGGGTGTGGTCCTCTGAGAAAACCACCGACTTCAGTTTGGGCACCTGGACAGTGTGTAGCCCTCACACAAATCTCATTTGACTTGTGTAGCGCATATATAACTGGTACCCCTCTGTACCTATATTTATGTGTTTAAATAAATAAATAAATAAAAGTATGACACTTATTCGAGTTCATAAGACTGGGTTTCAGTCACATTACTCATTGAAAATAAGTAGTATAAAGGGTTGCGTGGAGATGGTTGAATTTCGTGGTTTATGTGATGGACCGATTGAGACTAGGAGACTGTTGAGACATCATAGTTTCACAGAGCACAGATATTATTAGAGATAAAACTCTGGGCCTTTAGACCTCGAGTCGAGAGCTGAACCTTTAGGTCACTGAATTCCAAAATGTAAACCACTGAGCCCCGGCACGGCTGAGAGCGAAGAGAGTCCACTCTCCCTCTCGAAATGCTCTCACATGGCCATGCATATATAGCATCTGTCAGGAAAGTCTTACTCACTGACTTGTCGTGGCAGGGTGGGGTGTTGTTTTCGAAATTGAGAGGATGAAAAGCGATTATCTGGCGCTTTAACCTCGTTGGTGGATGTGTAGGATCCACCTAGGGATGTTGGAAAACCCTTATTCCAAACCACTAGTGCACATGGGCTGACCCCAGTATCCTGAAGGAACAAATGGCGTATGAATCCATCGTTGGTCACCGACTAACATGGGACTGCATCTCCTTACGATGCTCCACTGCCTTGTGGACCAGACCTTTAGATCGAAGGTTACGGGTGTGGCTTGAACCCTTAATATCTAGACTACAGGGCCTCGTTTCAGTGGGGTACAATTCTAACTTCGATCAATTTACGACATTACAAACTTTCATCTAATGACTGAAGTGGACTTGGTTTAAAAACATACCTGTAAATACAATGGGATAGATTTAATTAATAACATCAGAGGAAAGAAGATTTTCTTTGTTGATTAATCTTCGATCTCTTTAATGTACAATGGGTTTCTTTAGAGATATTCAAATAAAACTGTCTTGATTTAATATCATCTATTAAAAAACAACACAGTTTTGACGATTCAAATAGTCTCCATTACTTCTGTAATTACAGTTATTTTTATTATGAAAATTATCTGTAATCTTATGCTATAGTATGGAGGTTGTGAAAGCTGTTGAATGCTTACTTACTTACTTACGCCTGTTACCCCATGTGGAGGAGCATAGGCCGCTCACCAGCATTCTCCATCCAGCTCTGTCCTGAGCCTTCGGTTCAAGTTGTTGAATGCTACTAAGCCACAAAAATGACAAACAGTGAAAGTATGGAAGCAGTGAACAGCTATTTCATCCTAGTGGGTACTCCTCAGCAGTAGATGCTCATGACCCCCATCATTAGGGAATGGACCTAGGACGTCTGGAATGGGAGTGATCATTTAACTCCCAAACCCATGAGCCGGCATTCAACAGTGTTCAGTTTCGAACTCAGTAAGTCTGTGAAACAGTTCAATCACATTTAACCGTTTTTTTACAAATACCTTCCTCACACCCAACATGGTTGGTTCCAATGCTCAAGGCTTCTTATTCAATATCCGAAAATTTAGTCTCAAAACTAGTGACCAGTATAAACTTTTGTTTAATGGTTCAAACTAATTTTCAGCGACTGTATTATAAACAGAAATTTAGTCAAATAGTTATTTTTAGTGTCTTGAGTCAGAGTGTTAGAATAACATCCATATTCAAAATGTACACCGTATAAACAAAGTTGGACATTCTATTATATTGTGTTTTTTGTCTCTGACAGTCCAAATCAATCAAAATTGAGGAATAAAGAAGCATGACATTGGTTACTACTTAAGGATTAATCATTTTCAAATATCTCAGTCCTACAAAGGTCTAAAGGCCTGAAATAATGCAATTATAAAATCTCAGACTGTGAAAGTAAGTGATATGAGTTCCAATTTTACACAAAGCGTCAGTCCTCTCAAGATTTCAGGTAAGTCTTAATGAGAAGTATCAAATGCCTCAATACTTGTCTCGACTAAGATTCCCTACAGACCTCTTTCCAACCGCTTAATCATAATTATTCAGAATAATAATGTCATTAAACTTTTTCAACCCAATGTACTTAACTTAACATGGATAGTATTATAATAATCACTTAAATCTCCAAGTGGAGACCATTTCACTTCAATACTGTAGTAAACAAAAATTCTTAGGATAAATAGATGAATAAAATTTGAGGGAAAAGCAAACCAGTAATAATAAAACAATCTAACCGTGTAAATTGTTCATGAACATATACTGCTTCTGTATGATCAGCTAATTGAAATATAATTTCACATTCACCAATTGGTGATGCACGACCAGTATAAATACGAAATTGACCATCTCTACGTGATACACATTGACGTACAAATCGATACTGGTTAAGAAAACAAAAAACAAAAAAAATAAAATAAAGTATAAATATTGACTTTAATGAAAAGATAATTGATAAGTTTATTAAAAGGAGACTTATTCACTAAGCTGGATGATTTGATCATACAGGATTTATTGTTCTACTGAACAAAGTTATCAGTACAAACTTCAATTGGAAGTGATTTATTCGAATTTGTCCACATGTGACTGACAGTTTATCGTGTCAATTTTGATTATAACTGGTTAATATTAAATCTTTAACCTATCGTTGTCAATGTTAAGACAAGCTATTAGTTATATATGAAGAAATTTGAATACATCATTGTTATCTGAAATTTGTACTGATGATGTTGTTCAGAAGAACAATGAATGTTCAACGATTAAACTGTCTACCTTAAAGTATGAAGCTTCATCAAGACCATCCAGCTGATATATAAATCTTCTCTACCTTCTGAAGATTGATTGCATTAATAAATGTGGATAAATTACACATTCTGTAAATAAGTAATAATACAATTGTCGAAATAATGTCTGGCATTTATTTTATTTTTAAAACTGTATTCATCAAAGTTGGTCGGGGTCCGCGTGATCATCGTAACCAATGGTTGGAGACTCTAGGTGATATGGCTCAGAATCCATCACAATGGCGTAGGTGTATACACACTTTGTCTTCCCTTAAACCTTCAAATTAAAATTGTTTCATAACTTTCTTCCTTCCTATACTATATCCTTATATACAACCTATCTTTTATATATTACCACCACCATTAAATTAACTACTTCTATGAATTTGGTGTTCATCTTATTGTGCTAACGAGGTATGGCGATTTGGACCGATGCATAAATGTGCCTGATCCTACGTTGTAGCTGACTGACTGACTGTATTCATCACAGACTGATCTCATTTAGGATATCATTAGAAGTTAATGAACATTAGATAATTGTTATATTTTAGTATTGGACTTGTCAGTAGTGTGAGCTTAAGTCCCTATCAAAGATGATAGTTAGGATCTACAGAGCTCATGAAGAATTCTCAATCAGGAAAACCATTGTATTGTTTTAACTCATCAGTTATTAGATATATTATGATACGTATAAAAAGCAGTATTTTGACCAACTGAGCGTTCAAAATTCTTACGATTTTGTGACCATTTTTTTCTTATCGGTCACTTTGTCAGTTCTGGTTATTTATTTAAACACATTAACATTGTTACAAGGAGGCACCAAATAGATATACGCCACATAAATCATTCTATTTGCGTGAAGGATTGTGGTTTACTTAGAGGGTCATACCCGCCGCCTTTGACCTAAAGAGCACCTTAAGGAGATGCAGTCCCATGGTAGTCGGTGACCAACGATTGATTCATACGCCATTTTTTCCCTCAGGATACTGGAGCCAGCCCATGTACACCATTGGTTTGGAATGAGGGTTTCCCAACTCCCCTAGATGAACTTTCCGTGTCCGCCAACCCGGTTAAAGCGCCGGACATTCAGAATTCAGTAGTTAGATACGAAATCCATTCAGTGTTTGAAGTAAATGGTGTTGAGTTTGATTATCAGAGACAGTATCAACTTTGGGATATAGTAGGTATATTCAGTTGACAAGTTTACAAATTGGACAAAACGTGCCTCTTTTATTCTATTAATACCCATTATGGTAACTGGTATAACATAAACATATAATGATTTCATCATATAACAATATTAATTACTGATGAAATTCAATAATTGTGTTTCGTCTAATTTTGAAGCTCATCAGATGCATCTATATCTGTTTATTCCAATGTCAATATTCTAACTAGGATTTTATACCTATTTTTTAAATTTGATAAATATATATTCATATATATAGCTGAAATTATGAGACAATTGAAGCTAGACCACCAGCGAAAATCTTGAAGCATTGAATGGCCGTTTCGTTCTATTGTAGGACTCCTCAACAGTGCGCATCCATGAACCCGTCTCGCGCCAGAGCACTTGACCGATAGACCACTAAGCCGTTAGAGATTCAACGGTTTTAATGTCTAACTTCAACCAATTCACAAAGTAGAGCAACTATTTCACCAATTGTTTTCACTGAGTTGATATCTCCCAACAGACCTGGTTGAACAATAGATATATATATTTTTAGAGTTGAGATCATGAGTCAATTGAAGCTAGACCACCATGGAAAACCTGAAAGCACTGGACGGCCGTTTCGTCCTATTATGGGACTCCTCAGCAGTGCGCATCCACGAACCCACTCTCGCGGGATTCGAACCCAGGACCTACCAGTTTCGAGCCGAAGCCAGTTCTGTTGTGAGATAGGAACTCACTGATGACATTGGTGAATGGTTGCTCAATTTCGTGAATCAGTTGAAGTTAGACATTAACACCGTTGGATGCCAGCTCAATGGTCTATCGGTTAAGGGCTTCGGCTCGAAACTGGTAGGTCCTGTGTTCGAATCCCGCGAGAGTGGGTTCGTGGATGCGCACTGCTGAGGAGTCCCATAATAGGACGGAACGGCCGTCCAGTGTTTTCAGGTTTTCCATGGTGTGGTCTAGCTTCAATTGACTCATGATTTCAACTCTAAAAATTACTAAAATCTCCACAAAACTCCTTCAGATATATATATTCTTTAAAAATGAATAAACTTACTAAAATAATTAATTTAGGTATACGTAAATTTCCTTGAATTAGAAGTATTTCTGTACATGTTAAACATAAATAATGTGATCCATTATTATTTGGAATTAAACCAGTACTGGTATAATCTTTTGGTTTAAAATGAACATGAACAGACCATGCAAATTCTATAATAAGTAATAAATAGAAGAGAAAGACAAATAAAAAGACATTAATAAGTTTCAAAAATAGTAATAGATTATTGTATGTATAGTATTAGGGTTTCAGTCAATAAATGACAAGTTTAAACTTAAATCTACCTTCATCGGCTTTCCTAACCCTGTAATAACATTAGCTTTTTGACTTAGACTGTAGTTCATTTTTAAGGATCTTCTATGAATCTAACTACACTTATGAAATGAGTTACATAGGATGATATTTAGAAGTGCATATTTCTCGCTTTGTGATCTCTTACTATCGTATCTATGAAAAAGTTTAATTGAAACTATTAACAGTCCTGTTTTAGTTCATGTAGTCCGAGGTAATAATTCATTCATAAAAATCTATCATATTTATAGTGGTTCGTTCGAAACCCTTTAAACAGTTGATATGTTTTCGTTATAAAGCAACACAATGGAGTTAAACATTTGAAATATAAAAGTTCAGACCTTTTCTACCTTGATCAATCTAAGTTTGAGTGATCTTGCCTACTATGAAGATGATTCAATATGCGTTACATTCATAAATCATTCTCTTCCACATTTTTAAATCTACTTTATCAGGAGTAGATTTTGGTTAGCAGTGGAATCCAGAACACTCATTTCATCCTATCAAGGACTTGTCATGGTGAGACTATAATTTATGGACGAGCCAATCAGAATAGTCTGATGGATTTCAAGGTCATGGTGCCAATTCCAGTACCTGGTGCTCATGTACGATCGGTTCACAGAGGATTTTAGAGAAGACTTGACAATTAAGCGACTACAATAAGTGATATCACTAAGAAGTTCCATTATTTGAAATTGCAGTGATCAAATGACTCGTAGACCTTGTGCAGACTACCGTGATGTCCTTCAATGTAACATCATTTGAAGGAAGCTTTTTCGCTCGATCCAGATTGAGACTAAGGCATATTATAATAATTGCCGCCAACTGTATAATAAAAGTAACAGTAAAATTGGCGGCAATAATCGCAGATGTCACTGAAACTTCGGTTGTTCAGTGGTGTGAGTATTGTAGGGACAAATCCATAATAAAAATGGTAAATTTACACAACCGGAGTACACAAACAATATTGAAGCTATGTGGTCGAGGCTGAGAGGGTTTTTGTGACCTTATCATGGCTCCAGAGACCAACCATTATGGAGCCATAAGGATGAGTTCCTCTACCTTATGCATTACGATTTTCGAACCTCTGAACCTCCTTCTAACTTTGACAAGTTTTTGGACCACTTAAAAGAAGTGTATCCACTTTAATTATTTGGTTATATATATATACTCTATGCTGACTGTTTATTTACTGGCTAATATTTATCAAGGTCACTCAGAATTCATTCAAATGTCTTCCATAAATTATAGTCTAGCCCTTGTCATTTGTAGGTTTCTTCACCCCAGCACTGATGCCCACATTGGGACTCAAATTATAGCGATATAGAATCTGCAAATTTGTTGATACTTGTTCTTTTTAACGTAAAGATTCTACTGAATGGTTTTTGCCGATTCCCTCCAACAATTAAACATCTCAATAAACAGCATGGAAAGTTGAGTTACTAAGACCAATGGCCACATTGCAACTTGCTCAATAGGATTCGGTCGGCAATAAAGGATTAGACAACATGACATTGGTTACTATTTAGTGATCACTCATTTGTAATTATCTCAGTTTTGCATGAGATCAGTTGTAGCCTAATTAGCTCAACAGTAATCCCTTAGAACATGAAGCTAAATTAAACATATTAGAAACTAACAAGAACCATCTGTTTCCTCAAAACTACTGGTATACCACTCTAACATGTTTCACGTAACCTAGGTTTGGCATATTTCCCTAGCGACTACCTCACCGATCATCAAAAATATAATTCACCATATTGATTAGTCACTTGAACGAATGGCTATAATACAACTAGATAGATCGAATTCTATTAGAACTAAGGATTAAACATAAACATGATATCGGTTATTACTAATTGTACAATGATATATCCATTGGTGACTAAACGTAAACTATAATATATAACTTGGCAGATTACAAATTGTTATTGATAAATATAAAAACCCATTAAATATGTATGTGTGTATATATATATAAGTGGATCACTTATCTAATGTATACTTGAATTCACTTGGTATTTGTTTGTTTGGCTTAGTAGTTGAATGGATAACGCAATGACGTTTGAAATAAACAGTATTGGATTCGAGTCCCAAAATGAACACCAACTCTGAGATGTAGGTTCATTCACCTCTGACGAGTCCCAAAATAGGACGAAATGCATGTCCTAGATTCCACTACTAGTCACTATCTATCGATGGCGTTTGAAGCGAAAGTTACTGAATTCGAGTCCCAGAATGAACATCAACTTTGAGATGTAGGTAAATCCAGCTGACGAGTCCTAAAATAGGACGAAACACGAGTCCTGGATTCCACTGCTAGTCACTATCCGTCTTTGTTTACTATCTATCTTTGTTTACAAATGGTATACTTGATTAAGAATCCTATTTATATAGTCATATTCTATTCTATCGTATATTTGTTTACATAGTCTTTTCTATTTCTAACTCATTTTATTTTACATCATACTATATTATGAATAGAGATTGACATTTATTTGATTAAAATAATAAGTTACATTATGTCTAGACAGAAAATAATCAGTGAGAGAGGTCATGGGAGGAGAGAAAAAATAAAGAACACATAGGATAAACAATGAACAAAAACAAATGACTATTGAATAGAAATAATGAGTATTACAACTTTATTCAGATGCATTTAATCAATGATGATTTGGATGATGATGATGTTTTGGATGATGATGATGATGATGATGATGATGATGATGATGATGATGATGATGATGATGATGATGATGATGATGATGATGATGATGATGATTTGGATGATGATTTGGATGATGATGATGATTTGGATGATGATGATGATGATGATGATGATGAAGACGACGAAGACGAAGAAGAAGAATAGCAGATAGAATGATAGCATTATTACCACGTATACATACATATATTTGTAGGTATATAAGTTTTGACGATATTTATACAGTCTACTACTAACTGACATGATATGGTATTTCACATAGTCCTGTTTGGTGAAGACTCTGGCAAAATGCAGAGTCTTCTGTTGGAACTCAGTAATAATGCCAGGATGTTTGGGATGCATTTCCCCCCATCTAAATATAAATTGTTACTCCAGGACTGGTTTGCGTCAACACCTCAACTAAGGATAAGGAGTGAAGTAGTCGAACGCGTCGACAACTTTTATTTGAAGTCTGAGCAGCACTAATGGGTTGGTGTCTGACAAAATCTCACTACGGATTCAAAAAGCTCGTTTGGCTTTTGCCAACTTACGTCATCTATGGTGAAGACGAGATATCCGTCTATCAATTACGGGACGAGTATATTGCGTAGAAGTTCGTTCTGTTCTACTCTACGACTGTGAAACATGGCCATTAAGAGTAGAAGATACTCCTAAGTTACTAGTATTTGATCACAGATGTCTTAGAAATATTGCTCGCATCTGCTAGGATAACCGGGTAAGTAATAGTGAGGTTAGACACAGGGTATTAGGGAATGGTGGTAAATCAGTTGATGAGGTGTTGAGTCTTCATCGACTGAGATGGTTGGGCCACGTGTTACGTATGCCTGAACACCGATTACCACGACGCGCTATGCTGACTAGTATTGGGAATGGTTGGAAAAGAGTTAGGGGCGGTCAAACAAAAACGTGGCATTAGTGCTTGAGCCATGTTGGTAGATGCACACTACCTGGTTGGGGTCCACGCGACAATCGTAACCAATGGTTGGAGACTCTAGGTGACATGGCTCAGAATCCATCACAATGGCGCAGATGTATACACTCTTTATCTTCCCTTAAACATTGAGATTGAAATTGTTTCATATCTGTCTTCCTTCCTATACTATACCCTCATATACAACCTTTCTCTTGTATACTACCATCAGTAAATTAACTATTTCTATGAATCCGGTGTTCATCTTGTTGTTCTAATGAGGTATGGCAACTTGGACCGATGCATATATGTGCCTGGTCCTATGTTGTAGCTGACTGACTGACATATCAAGAGATGAAAACAATCATAGATATGAATTCGATTAGAAAAATGTCGCTATTTTGTATTGATGAAATTTCAAGAATTTCAAAGAATTTCTAGAAGCATGAGATTCAAATCAACTAGGAATGAATAGATGCCTCAATAATGACCCAGTCTATAAACCTGTACTGAAAAGGTCAATCAGTCACATGACCAGAGGTCAACCAGCAAAAATAGTCAAGATGAATGCGATGGCAAATGAGAATAACCAAAACCTACGAAAATAGCCCATCACAACAAATTTCATCTGGATGAACCAATGTAAAACTTATGGAATAACTAGAAAGATCACTTTTACATGAAGTACAGGCTGAAGATATAGTTCAAGATGACAATAAAAGCTCTGTGATTATGTATATATGACACCTTATGCAATAGACTTTGATTTTCGCTTTCACAAACTATAGCTGAAAAGTCAATGAAAGCCAGATGTAACTATTACAATTGGACTGTTTTTTTACCATTAAACATTGAGTAGTGTGTAGCGAACTCTTGACACACTGACACCGTCAAAAGTTCATACTTGAGCACTGAGAATATTTAGAGGGCAGAAATATGAAAGCAATTTTAACTCAATATCTCATTTGTTTATCGAAACCAAAACATATCTAAATGGTTACCGTTGACTCTTAAGTTCTATAAGTTTTTGAGAATGAGTTTATTTTTGAACTTCTCTCTAGGAGGTTACGAATTACCATGCTTGATTTATAAAAAAAACTTCAGCTTCTAAAGAGTTTCAGTAGAATCCATAAGATGAGCCTAAGAGCGAACGCTTAACCTCTAGTCCACTGAGCCGGCATCTGGCGCTATTAAGGTCTAATATCAATTGATCCATTATTTTGCATATTCTTCCATCCACTTTCTTCAGTAGGTAAATGTCCCGGTTAAAGCGCTGAACATTCGCTCTTCATCCGCACAATTTCGTAAACAACACCCCCGCCACGAGAAGGCAGTGAGTAGGACTTCCCTGACAGAGTCTATATACGCGTGGCCATATGAGAGCATTTGGAGAGGGAGAGCGGACTCTTCCCACTCTCGGCGTTATCAGGGAATTTGGAGGCTTAAAGCTGGCTACACCCGGTATCTCCAGCAGATCACCCATCTAAGTACTGACCGGGCCCAACATTGCTTAACTGCGATGATAGAACAAGAACCGATGCTTTCAACGTGGTATAGTCGCCGCCGCTAAAACTGTACTGTATATTTAATGTAACATGAATAAATAGTACAACTTACCAATATCTGGATAAGCATTTACTTGTTTATTCATAGAAATAATTTTATTTAATGATGTTAAACATAAATTTCTTTCATGTATTGTATTGAATTCAAATATAAAATGTTTTCCTGATTCCAGAAATAAACCAAGTAGGATATTGGATGTATCATTGATGGAATGATTACTATAACCATTACTATTATTATTAGTAGTATTGGTAGTAGTAGTAGTAGTAGTATTTGTAGCTTGATGATTTGTACACATTTGTTGGCTTGTATTTGACTGGTTAGACATGGACACATTTGAATCTATTGCCTTTGAATTATAATGAATCAATTTACATGATCTGGTTTTGTAAGATTTTGTAAGTGGCTAGAAGTTTGATTTTTTTTTAAAGAAAAAGGACAGTAAGATAAATTGGTGAGAAGAATAATAAACCACTAGTTTAATGAAAATTATTTTGGGTAAGAAAGTTTAATTCACTCAGTTAAGTTGATATACTTGAAGTAAATTGAAGCATGGATTCAGAAGGTTCGCTTGGATTAGCCCATCATGAGACTAAATACTGGACAAGTCAGTCGATTAGTCAGTCACAACGTAGAACTTCGTACGTACGTACATCAATTCGAGTTGCCATACCACATTAGCACAGAGATACAGTTGTCGATTCAAATCCCATAGTGGTAGAAGTAGTAAAAGTATAAGCAATAATCAGAAAGATTAGGGTTCGGAGATTTTATTGAAGGAGTAAAATCTAGTGAAACAAATTTGAAAAGAGAAAAAGATAGAGATATGAAGAATTCAGAAGATTAGAATTTGGCAGAACACAAAGAATGGATGCACCATCGTCATTGTAAACGATTTTGAGCCATATCATTCAAGGTATCTAACCATCAATTGCTATCATCTGGACAATGTTGAGGTTAAATACAGAGTACTAGGTAAAGATGGAAAGTCGATAGTTGAATTAATGAACATTCATGAACTGAGATGGCTCAGATACGTACTACATAAGCCTAAACTTCACCTACCTTACTGGACAATACTAGCTAGTGTAGCAATACATTGGAAGAAAGCTAGAAGAGTCCAAAATAAAAAGTTCCATTAGTTCATGAAGTTGCCAACTGCTGAACTGAGCCATATTCATAGATTCAGACTATATAGTCGAGGTGTATGCAATAACGGCAATCAGCTATCTGATATACTAGATGACATGACTCAGATTGTTTGGATCGGAGCAAATACGTTCATCCTTTATCTTATTCTAGATATTATGTTCCTGTATTCATTCTTGCACATCCTTTCCTTCTATCTTCAAAACCTATACTTCTTATATTCACTATCTTTCATCATCACTATCATTAAAATAATTTCGACTGTTTTAATATTCACCTTATTAATTTTAATTCACTGTGTTATTTTGATGTAACACTTTTGATGAATCCATATTTGTACTAAGCTAAACATTGATTATAACTGACTGGTTACTTTTAACCAATCAATACTTAGATTCAAACTATTTATCAAGAAATACTCTTCCACGGTGTGGACAGCCCGGAAGTGATATTATCCTTTATACCCGTAAGAGCACATAATTAAATCATTTAATTCAAGGAACTAGATAACTCTTGAAAAATAATTTAGTCTCAGTAGTTGTATAATATCACAAGTTTTTTTTATTTACAAACACATCAATAATTTGTACGCAAAGATGGATAGTGGCTAGCAGTGGAATACAGGACGCCCGTTTCGTCCTATTTGTGACTTGTCAGCTGGATCTACCTGCTTCTCAGAGTTGATATTCACTCTGGGACTCGAACCCAGTACCTTTCGCTTCAAACGCCATCGTGTTATCTACTCAGCTTCGAAATTGGCATCCTGAATTCAACTGCTAGCCACTATCCATCTTTGATTATAATACTTGTGAATTAAAGTTAAATCGAGGCAATACACACAGGATGTACATATGCCAATAAGAGACTGATCAATTGCAGTCTTAAACACCAATGGGAAGATTCAACCAAACAATACTAAGTGAATTTAAACTTCACCTCATTGAAAAAGCAAGTGTCTGTTAGGACTCAGTAGCTAAGTGGATAACGTGATGACGTTTGAGGTGAACGGTACTGAGTTCGAGTCCCAGAGTGAACATCAACTTTGAGATGCAGATACATCCATCTGATGAGTCCTAGATAGGACAAAACTCACCTTCAAACTCAACACATAGATCTCTATAAGATAATGAATAGGATTAACAATATGACCAATGTTGTATAACTTACTGATGTATAATTATTTACAGAATGAAATGATGATGATGATGAGGGTAATGATGATGATTTCGGTGAATAAATATTATGTAACCATTTTAATTTAGATTTAGTTAATTTAAATGATAAATTATGATTGAATTTATTATTTCTATATAATATTGTTACATGAAATAAATCATTTAATGATTGTATGATTATTGTATTTGTCTTTTGTTTTATATCATCATAATCATTAAAATAATAATTGAATTGATCTAATAACGTAGTAGTGGTGTTAGTAGTATCAATAGTAGTATTATTAGTAGTATTGGTAATGTTGGAAGGTGTATTCAAAGAAGTAGTATTATTAGTATCAGTAGTAGTAGTAGTAGTAGTAGTAGCAGTATTAGTAATATTGGAAGGTATATTCAATGAAGTAGTATTAGTAATACTAGTATCAGTAGTATCGGTAGTAGTAGCAGTAATATTGGAAGGTTTATTCGTCGTCGGCGTTGCCGTTGTTGTTGTTGCTATGGACTCTATTCCATTATTATTATTATTCTGTTGATTTTCATGAAATTGATTTGATAATAATAATAATTTACGTATAAACCAATGAATATCAGAATTTAATTTAGATTTCCATTTAGATTTAGGTTGATAAATTATGAAATAAGAATTTTTATCATTTAATTGAGTAATAATTTCTATATATTGTGGACGATGAGTCTGTATAAAATGTAAATGGAAAAATGAACAAATCAAGCATAAATAATATTTTTATATTCATAGTTGAAAGAGTGAGTCAATTGAAGCTAGACCGCCAGCAAAAATTTGGAAGCACTAGACGACCGTTTCGTCCTATTGTTGGACTCCTCAACAGTGCGCATCCACGAACTCGCCTCAAGAGATTTGAAATCAGGACCTACCAGTCTCGTACCAGAGCACTTAACCGATAGACCACTGAGTTGGCATCCAATGGTGTTTATGTTTAACCCTAACCAATCCAAGAAATCTAAGCAACCGTTCACCAATTGCCTTCAGTGAGTTTCTATCTCACAACAGATGTGGTTGAACTCCACTGGTCACTGCTTCTTACTAGAACTCCTGGATTTACCTCTCGAAGTTAGTCACTAGGAAGCATATGATTATTATGATCCGAAGGGGTTTTTGTGGAGATTTAGTATTTTCATAGTTGAAAGGATGAGTCAATTGAAGCTAGGAGTCCCACAATAAGACGAAACGGCCATCCAGTGTTTCCAAGTTTTTCTTTGGTGGTCTAGCTTCAATTGACTAATGCTTTCAACTATGAAAATACTAAATCTCTACAAAAACCCCTTCTGATAATAATATTTTTCTGGTTGAATTTATCAGTTAATTTAAACTAGATCATTATTGAAAACACTACAATCCTTACAAATCCAAGCACTGATAATAATTATGTGTTCACTAATCACTAGCTAGAAGATAAATGGCCACATGGCCACGCGTATATCGCCTCTGCAAGGGAAGTCCTACGCACTGCCTTCTCACACCAGGGATGTTGTTTACGAAATTGAGAGGACGAAAAGCGAATGTCCGGCGCTTTAAACGGGTTGGTGGACACAGAACGTCCATCTAGGAGAGTTGGAAAACCTCATTTCAAACCAATGGTGAATGTGGGCTGACTCCAGTATCCTGAAGGAACAAATGGAGTATGAACCGACTATTGGTCACTGGCTACCATGGGACTGCATCTCCTCACGATGCTCCACTGCCTTGTGGAGTAGACCTTTAGGTCAAAGGTTCCGGTTGTGGTCCCCTAAGAAGACCACCTGTTTCGGTTTGGGCACCCGGGCAGTATCATATCCCTCACACAAATCAAATGAGATTTGTTCGGCGTATATATGTCTGGTGCCCCCTTGTACCAATATTTATGTGTATAAATAAATAATAAAAAGACAGATTTCCTGGAGTTCTAGTGAAATTCCATGAACAGTAATGTTCAATCAATGTCTGGTGTGAGATATTTATCCACTGAAGAAAGTAGATGGAAGGTTACGCAAGATAATGGATCAACAGATATTAGACATTAAGACCGTCGGATGCTGGCTCGCTCGTCTACAGGTTAAGCGTTCGGCCGAGGAATCGAAGGTTCTGGGTTGGAGTCCCATGTGAGGAATTGTAGATACGTACTGCTGATGAGCCCCATACTAAGATGAAACGGCCGTCCAGTGTTTCCAGGTTTTCAATAATGATCTAACTTTAAATGACTCGTGAATTCAACTGTGAAAATACTACAATCTCAACCAATAAAATGAATATATTTACTAGTATTCATAAATTTATTGATGATTGATTATGAATTAAGTTTGTTGCTTGTGAGTGACTATAGTTACCTAACTTGTCGAATTGTAATAAGTCAATGAAAGTTTAAATATATAAATTAACGATTATATTTTAAGTTGTAGTTGTCAGTGGAATTCAGTTTCTACCCACAGGGAGTTAATCAGTTCGTGTTTATAATTGATCTCGAATCCAAAAACCATCACTTCAAACATCAGGCTACTGATTTATGGAAGCCAATACTTGTTTTCATGAATATATGTAATCAGTTCATTTTCATAGATTAGTAATATACGTACATAAGCCACCGATTGAAAATGGACCTATGGACTAATCATTTTTCCGTACTGTTTAGTCAACTGAAAAATTTCTTCAGTAAATATTTAACATTAGATGCGGTCTGACGAAATGACTGTGGTTCCCTACAGTGACAAATTAATCGAGTTATATTGGCTTAAACATTTTTTTCTCTTCAGATCTCATCTTGCTAAGCGGTTAATTTGGAGAGAAACCAAAGTAAAAGGAGTATATTTGAGGTATCTGAAGTAAAATTCATAACACCAGCTGCAGTGGGATGCAGCAACAGTTAGTGATTTCTACAGGATGAACATATCCACTCGTCCTACCCCCTCAAAACAGAAGGGATATTAAACAAATGTTGACTCAAGGATAACACACTACCCCTTTCATCACAAGTCATTGAAACTGTTAGTGAGCTCTGAATATCATGGAGCTGATATTTCAAAATCTACTCATAGATTAAGGTCATAAGTGTAATCGATCACAGTTGATTTCTGTTGTAACGTTCCTCAATTACAGTGATGCTTCCAAAGTTACTTTCTAGATCCCTCAAGAATAGTATCTAATGGACATTTAGGAAACAATACACTCTCATACACACTCAACGACACTCCAATTTTTATTGTGTATGTTACATTAAATATGACAAATGTTTCATAATGATCAAACTCAATAATCATCCTTACTAATAAATTACTTAGAAGTCAAGTAACGGTCTCTGTGGATGAAATATTAGCATACTGATCATATATGACAACCACGACCGTTATTGCTACCTTGAAGTGGTGGTCGGGCTTGTCTATCGTGATGAACCAATCGAGCTATACTGACTGGAACAACCGTTCCTCAAGGTCCTACCATGCCAGGCAGGTCGGTTGAATAGCGGTAAGACTAAAAGCAGCAAAACCAAGGTCCGAAGGCGAAGTCGTACTGCTGTCTGTACAGAGGTGTGACAGTAGTAAGGTGTTTCCTTCAGACAACCAGCATAACAGAGATGCCGCCTCCCCACAAGGAAGGGTGAGATTTGACAGAGCTGACCCTAAAAATGCACACCTCGCCTTATCCCACACATATCCGTCTCCGGCGGTAAGGTCCCAACAAGTACGGATCTAACACAAAAACTACCCACAAATAGGTCGTGTGTGACCAGCCTCAAACACAGTTGTCCCTTGAGCACTGCGGTCACGCTCTCAGGTCATTAGGACCACTTCTAACCTAATTCCCTTTTCAGGTACCTCTAGAAGAACCCTCCCACTGTGTGGGCGACCGGGAAGTGATAACTGCCCTCACACCTCTAACAGCACTCAAGACCACTAACTAGTTATTATTACGTCAGAGTCAGTCAGCTACAAGGTAGGACCAGCTACATATATGCATCGGTCCAAGTTTCCATACCTCATTAGCACAACAAGATGAACACTGAATTCATAGAAGTAGTTAATTTAGTGGTGGTAGCATATAAAAGATAGGAAGAAAGTTATGAAGCAATTTTAATCTCAATGTTTAAGGGAAGATAAAGAGTGTATACATCTACGCCATTGTGATCGATTCTGAGCCATGTCACCTAGAGTCTCCAACCATTTATTACAATAATCACGAGTACCCCAACCAAGTAGTCTGCATCTGCCAACATGGCTCAGACCAGAAGTCAGTGACTTCAAGCACTGATGTCACGTTTTGGTTTGGCCGCTCCTAACTCCTTTCCAACCATCCCCAATACTAGTCAGCATAGTGCGTCGTGGTAATCGCTGTTCAGGTATACGTAACACGGATCTTCTGGTAGGTAATTAATTTTTGAGAAGTAATTGAAAAATATAAGTACATTTAAATTCACTTAGTATTGTTTGTTTGAATCTTCCCATCGATGTGTTTAGGACTGCAACTGGTCAGTCTCTAATTGGCATATGTGCATACTGTGCGTATTGCCTCGATATACCTTAATTCACAAGCATGGTAAGCAGAGATGGATAGTGGCTAGCAGTGGAATCCAGGACGCGCGTTTCGTCCTATTTGGGACTCGTCAGCTGGATGTACCTGCATCTCAGAGTTGATGTTCACTCTGGGACTCGAACCCAGTACCACCGCTTCAAACGCCATCGCGTTATCCACTCGGCCACTGAGTCCTGATAGCCACTTGCTTGTGCGATGGGGTGAAGTTTGAATTCACTTAGTATTGTTTGTTAGAGACTGACCAGTTGCAGTCCTAAACACATCGATGGGAAGATTCAAACAAACAATACTAAGTGAATTCAAACTTCACCCCATCGCACAAGCAAGTGGCTATCAGGACTCAGTGGCCGAGTGGATAACGCGATGGCGTTTGAAGCGGGGGTACTGGGTTCGAGTCCCAGAGTGAACATTAACTCTGAGATGCAGGTACATCCAGCTGACGAGTCCCAAATAGGACGAAACGCGCGTCCTGGATTCCACTGCTAGCCACTATCCATCTCTGCATAAGTACATTTAGTCTACAAGAATAACATTCACTGGAACAAGATATATTATATCATGTTTTTCTAATCATAACCAAATTCTATGTTATTTACAGTTTTTATTATAGACTGACTTCAGCTTCAATTAAAAATTAAATTCACTCGTTCACTAGATACTTGGTTATGAGCCATGCTCTAAGTGTGAAGGCCAATTATGTCATCAAATTGCTCAAACCGTAGTAGGTAAAAAGCTGACTGTGCTACTGATAACTTTGCCTGGGTTTTTCACTTGACGAGCAAAAATACATTTATATAATCGAGGGCTTTAGCTGGTTTACTATTGAAAATCAATAAATAATTGACCGTTATTTAGTCTATGTATATCGGACTACTCATCCCTGTTTATGTACAAAATTGCGATTTTCAGATCTATCAGTGAGCTCTTAACTGTCAAACTACTGAATTAGTACCCAATAGCTTATATTTCGAACTTCAGTTAGTTAATGATGATGTCCTATCATTATCCATTTCAACTAGTAACATCAAATCTCAAACCCAACATGGTTGAATTCTACTCTTTACCATAACTCTAGGATATTCCTCAAGCCCTAGAAACTCTACAAGTTTAGCAATCATAACACTGTGCCAAACCAATGATGTTCGACTGGTGCG